ATCCCTTAGCCTGTGGCTGCGCGTTTGTAAGTCTACAGCCAGCGAAGTAAGTACACAGTGCGTAGGAATGAAGCATGAAAATGTTCAGCCGAATTCGTGCACGCGCCTAGAAGTTATGCAGGAACAAACAGAACGACACTACTCAAATTATTATATAGATTCCATTCAGAGCAACGCCGTCCCAGAAACCAGCAATCCATGCAGCAATACTCGCAGCACGGCAGTGTCTACGGCAGTGGCAACGAGCAGTGTCTAGTATGTATACAGTATAATTAAGAACTTTAGTAGCGTTAAATTGTTCACAAATAGATACAATTAGTATTACTGCAAAGCCTAAACTCGATCCTCATTCAATAATTACTACAATTCATTACTACAGTCGCACCCCGTTAGTACGAAACTGACGGGCCAAAGAAAAATAATCGTATTAAGCGGGTTCCCTATATTATATTAGCCTTAATTTGAAGAGAAAAACAATCAATGGATTAGAAGGTGTGTACAAAGTGTTTTATATAGAAATGAATATACCGGGACAGAAAATTTTATGTTAGTAACAGGATCCTTTTATTATTGTCTTCGTATCAAGTCAATATTTCACTAAAAGATTACTATGAATCGAGCCGGGATTTAGAGAAATCATCGTAGTCTCATCAGCGTAACGAGCAAATATGGCCGCCGGAGGCGGCCATTTTGCGAGTATATATAATTTCAACTCACAAGTTCAGACTAACCAGCACAAGTTGAAAGTTATGTTTACAAATGTTGATTGTTTGACTAATAAACACGCGATGTCGTATGTGGTGCTTGAGCAACCGGAGTTGATAGCTTTGTGTGAGATTTTCCCCAAGAACAAACTACGTTCAAAGGGCGACTTTATTTTAGACATTGCAAACTACGACAGGATTATGCCAGGCAAGAGCGGTAACAGAGGAGTTGTGATATATGCTCATTGCAATTTACAAGCAGTGCCAGTGGATCGGTTTGATCATCTTAACTTTGAGGAATCGGTATGGCGCAGAGTGAAGCTTGATAAGAGTGATAAACTGTTAGTTGGGTGAGTGTATAGAAGCCCGTCTAGTACCACTGCAAATAATGATGTTCTGTGCAAACTTCTAAGCGACGTGAGCAACGCTGGCTATAGCCATTCATTAGTAGTGGGCAATTTCAACTACAAGAAGATATGATGGGTAGACGGTAGAACGGAAGCTCATGATCAACATCCAGCATCAGTGTTCTACGACAGTGTGCAAGATAATTTCTTGTACCAACATGTGAGTGAGGAGACTAGATACAGAGGCAACCATGCAGAAGCCAAGCCTACTGGACTTGGTATTCACCAACAAGGAAAACATGATCGACAATTACGATATTGTATACGACCAGCCGCTTGGGAATAGTGATCACTGTATCCTGTTGTTTGACTTCAACTGTTATTTAAAACCTGGTGAGAACGTGCGCCCTAGATTCCAATATTACAAAAGTGATTATGCTGCTATGAATAGTCGATCTCGGACAAATAGACTGGGAACAGGTTTTATGTTCTGATGAGGTGGAAGCCAACTGGCTGACCGTTAGAGTTATTTTGGACAAGGCAATGAAAACACATATATTCCCAAAACAAGGAGCCGAGGGAAAAGTCGTGCTAGACCATTATGGATGAACAAGGATGTGGCAGACAGTGTGGCAGGTAAAAGAAAGGCCTGGTCAAAATACTGGAATTCCAGGACAAATATAAGGATTATGATGCATACAAACTGTCAAGGAATAAGTGCACAACTGGTGTAAGATCAGCAAAAGCGGATTATGAAAGAAAGATAGGCCTGGAATGCAAGTCGGACATGAAATCGTTCTGGAAATATGTTAAGTCAAAGACAAAAACACGTTCTGGTGTTACTGACTTGATGAAACCTGATGGAAACATGACTGAGGGAGAACAAGAAAAGGTTGATGTGCTCAACAACTTTTTTAGTGATGTATTCACGAGGGAGAACAATACTGATTGCACCATTACATATGAAATCCCAAGGGAGACACCCACGATCAGCACACTGTTGATTCGAGAAGAAATGGTCCGCAAGAAACTGGATAAAATAAAAACGGACAAATCTCCGGGACCAGATGCTATACACCCATCCTTTTTGAATGTAGGGAAAATGTCACTACTCCACTAACTATGATCTTTGAGCAGACATTACTAAGAGGTACCATTCCCCAAGACTGATAAGTTGCTCATGTATCACCTATCTTCAAAAAGGACGATAAAAAGCAGCCTAGAAGCTACCGCGCGGTTAGCCTGACTTCAGTGATTTGTAAACTGTGTGAATCTATTGTGAGAGACCACATTATGGAATATATGAACATCAACAACCTTTTTTCACAACAACAGTATGGCTTTAGGCCACGAAGATCATGTACTATCTAGCTACTGGAGGTGTTTGACAAATGGTAAGAGTTTATTGACTGTGGTCACCCAATCGATAATATATACCTAGATTTTAGCAAAGCTTTCGACACTGTGTCTCACAAGAGATTAGGAGCCAAACTTATGTCCTACGGTATAGACGGCAAACTGTGGTTGTGGATCATGGACTTTCTAGGATCGGTTGATTCAAAGGTCAATACCAGCTATAGACAACAGTGCGTCTCATATAATTCAGCGAAATCAGAGTGGAGAAACGTGGTAAGCGGGGTACCCAGGGTAGTGTGCTATAGGTCCAGTGCTATTTCTCATATTCATAAATGACCTGCCAGAAGTTGTAAACAGTTATGTTAAAATATTTGCAGATGACACGAAACTGTTCGATGCCGTTTATGACGAGAAACAGTGTGAGCAAATACAAGAGGATTTAGACAAACTGTGTGAATGGTCAGATAAGTGGCAGCTGCGTTTTAACATGGGAAAGTGCAAAGTTATGCATATTGGCAAGAACAATCCAATGTATTGCTACACTATGAAGAAGAATATGGGAAACACCATTGTGAAACAGGATATTGAAGAATGTGATCTGGGAACACACACACACACACACACACACACACACACACACACACACACACACACACACACACAGGGGAGGGAGGAGAAAGAGAGCGCACTATAGGTGCACGCTTTTAAGTTTAAAGGAGTATACTCTATACTCTACTCTGGACCATACGCTCTGTATTTTGAATTCATCATTTCGAGAAAATATTATTATCTTGAGCAGAGATTCGCCAGAAGCTTGCGGAGATCTGTTCTACAATTTATGACAACTTATCGCGGATTTCCAAGATTAGTATAGTTTCCATGACTACACACTACATTACTTCTCCCATGCACTAACGTTGAGAGAGGGAAAACAAGGTGATGGACAGGAGTGCTTGAAGTAAAAGTTTTGCACCCTGCCTGTAGTAACCAGGAAAACCGTTTAACGTAGCCAGATTGAGTACTGACTGGCATATGCAGCTGGCACCTTACATGAAAGGTCTTCTTCCTATTTCTTAGAAGCGGTCTACTGATAGAATGTTATTATTTATCTCTCTGCTAGAATACCTCCTCTCCCCTTTAAATTCAGAATTTTTTTCGCAAAATATTCTTCTTCTCTGGGGATATTGCGCATGCGCGAGCACCGTTTCAGGCGTACAGCGCTGACTGAAGACAACTGCATAATATAGCTTGCTGAGAAAGAGAAAGAAAGAGAGAGGGGCGGGCGACTGCGGAAAAACGGCAGGGAAGAGAGCTGAGGGCGGTAGAAGAAAAAGGAGACCGAGTCCCTACTCAAGGGAAGGGACAAGGGACTCAGGGACAAGGGAAGCAAGGTGAAGGACGGGCAGGCTTGAAGTAAGAGTTTTGCACCCGGCAGTCTAGGGCGCTCTGCTAATTATAAACCCAGGTCTACTGATAACAATTTATTAGAGAACTCTATGCTGAGATACCAATTTAGGGTCGTAGACCAGTGGAACAATCTTCCAAGTGAAGTGGTCATATCAGAGAGTCTAAACATCTTCAAATCTCGGCTCAACAGCAACCAGTGGCATCAGTATAAGTTTGACACCTCCTGTTAGTGTAGTCCTATTTTTCTTCTTATGTGCGCACCACCAAAAACATATGTACAAGAACAGCATTTCTTATACATCTTGAGGGGTCAAAAGACCACCTGAGACACTGCTATGCTTTATATCACATAGAGGGGTCCAAAAAAGCTATAAGCTTACTCATCCGACCCAGCATTAAAGTATTAAAGTATTAAAGTATATATATTATAAGCTGTGGCTACGGGTACGGCAGCCGTATCTTAATGTCTCGAGGCTGGAGGTACGGCAGTCCATTCGCTTTCATACTTAACGAGACAAAGATGGTGGCGGGTGGTGCCAGATTTTGAAATAACGCATAATAAAATTGAGAGTTTAGATGAGCTAGAACCCAGAACCCTAACCCTAACGCCAAAAAGGAGCTTCAACGAACGACGGCTGCCGTACCTCCAGCCACTGCGTATATTATATTAGTTAAATGACAAGTTATAAGTAAGCCTGTAAGGTTTCTAGTGGTTAGTACGAGAAGCAAAGAACTAGTATAAATGAGCTTGGTTTACCTAGTGACTTTTCCCACACTTTCCATGGCGCTCCTTGAGGTTACCTGCATGGTCGATCAAGAATACTATTACCATAGATATAGAAGAAGATCTATATCTTCTTCTATATCTATGCTATTACTAATATACTAATAGTACTACTACTACTACTAGTGATTCACATAGACGGTGACCATGTACTGCAGTCACGCTGAAGGGGTCGTTGTCGTATCAGGTACTACAGATATGTACCCGAGGTACATATATGTATACACAAAGTGTACCAGACTTGCACTACAGAAGAGTACCCTAACCCTAACACTAACCCTAACCCTAAACATACCTCATATAACAAATGCCGCAGAGCGACAGCGCTCACCTGACGACAGGTGTTCTGATGCTAAACTCACTGGCAAACGAATCAAGAGCACCCTCCCATCGCCGCGTTCGCTCTCCCTCGTTGTCTCTCTCATTCTTTCTCTTTTGCTCTCTCGCTCTTGCTCTCTCTTCCCTTCGCGCGCTCTCTCTCCCTCCCTCTCTCTCTCTCTCACTCGATCACACTCTCTCTCTCTCTCTCTCTCTCGCTCTCGCTCTCTCTCTCTCTCTCTCTCTCTCTCTCTCTCTCTCTCTCTCTCTCTCTCTCTCTCGCTCTGCTCTCTTCCTTCCTCTCTCAGCGCTCTGCTCTCTCTGCTTCTCTCTTCACTCTCTTCCCCCCCCCACTCCTCGCTCGCCTCTTCTCTCCTCTACTTCTGATTTCTCCTTGTCTTGAGGCGGTAAGCGGCTGGGCCGGACGAGGTCGCGCCGAGCTGATTGTCTATACAGATTCTGACTGCCATCAGACTCGATTGTCTGATGTCTGAACCTAGCAAGACCGTTTTGTGGACTAAGCCAAGGCGGCATACGTTTTTATATATACGTTCAAGCATAATGTTTAACTATACAGGGCTTTGAAACTAAACGCTCGCATCCGCTCGCCCGAGCTAAGTACGACAATCATAATGGGCTAGTAGAATGTCGTCTGACCAGCCCTTCGTTGCGCGAGTGGGAAGCCTAAACCAGATAACATATACTCAGTACTCTTGGTCAGGCAACTTACTAACTCCGATGCGAACTTAGTCATAATAAATGAGATTTGCGTGTGCAATACATAATAAAATGCAAAACCTAGACTAAAAACATCATAACATTGTACCTCAGACAATAAAATCTGGTCCCAAACACCATGGCTGCTTCTATCACAAGCTCATGCAGTCAATGTCAATTCCCCTCACAGTGATCTATCGGCAATAGCGGTTCTGTCTACTTTCTGTTTACGTTCGTTGACGGTTAATAACTTAGTTTACGTTTCAGCTGACCTCAGGGTTAAACACTACAGATTCCCACCCCTTTCAAAGAAGATTATTTCAATTTGACGGTTGCTAAATATCAATTATGAAACTCAAATTTACTTTACGGAGTTGGAATCACCCGCTGGTAATAACAACCAGTCTCTGTGTCTATAATCTTAAAACCGTGGAATAATGTAGTCCATGGTTTTGTCAGTACGTTATGAAAAATAACTCTAAACCACATTCCTGTAACTGATCCTAAATGCCTTTTATAATAACGATGTTCCATACCAACTACAAACAGCTCTATGTGCTTATATTTCAGTTCAACTAACAATACAACTTATTACAAATCTCACACAAGCACAAACAGGATAACTCTACTTATAACTCTAATACTGGAGCATTGGACCTAACTACTAACAAACCTTAACTGTAGTAGAGAATTACCTAGAGTAAAGACGATAGTTCACAAACGGTTCAAATTAAACATGAACTTGTCATATTTCCGTAGACCTGACAATAGTTCACATCGTTCCTGATAAGGATATTCTTCTCTAAACATAGACCTGATGTATTTGTATATATAATTACAGAGCTTAATATATCACCTAGCAGTGTACATGGAAAACTGGGAAATATGCTAATTCACAGGCAATAATAATTCTAAAGCTGAGGCCTGGAGGCATTTGATACGCTCCAATATCTCGGCCTAAGGAGTATCGTAAGACAGCACGTGTCTATTTTTAGAGACCAAAAAATGCCTGCTTAACGCAATACCATGAACAGTCTAGACCGCAACAAAGTATAATAATATTGCCCGTAAAATATCCACTTATTTCCTGTGTGTAACTCTAGGTTAATTTATTAGCTCTTTGATATATAATATATATATTATGTAATATATATAATAATTGATATATTAGTATATATATATAATCTATATATATAATGATATAGATAATGAATTATTATGCTCTGAATCTAAGATTTCTTCAACATCAAGAATTCGCACGATAATTGCATCTCGAGCGTCTATAAATCAAAACTCGCAGAATCCACCCACCTCACCCCGCCGTCACCCACCTCGCCCCGCAAAATGCAAAATTTGGCTCACTGCGTAGCCTCAGCGCGGCACTTCAAGAAAAGTAGGCTGGAGATATTTTTAACGGCTATAGATTTGAGCAGGTTCACTAGCCTGCTGGCTAGTGAAGCATTTTAGTAGTTTCAAGCCTTGCTATAGTTTATCTGGTGGTCACTCCGCAGCGCCATCTTTATCTATGTTAACCTCGTGTTCCCAGCAGCGGCCTGCGATCGTAGAAACTATGAAAAATTGCCTACTATTAAAAGCTGCTTGTCTCCGACAAGCTACCCGACTAGAAATGTATCTTGTCGCCTCCGTGGAAATGAACAATACGCGACAACGTAGTAGCGCCTTATTCGATACACTGGATGGTATCAGAACTTTCTCATCGAAATGTTTCGTTGGGTATCATTATGAAAGTTTGCCAGACGAGATGCGCGTACATTGAGTGTCTTAAATAAAGAGTGGAAGCTCCAATATCATACGTTAAATATAGTCAACAACTATTGCAAGACAGAAATATTGCTAAGTCATTCATGTTCCCATTTTACCTACGGCAAACCTTACAGGTCCAAAATAGAGAGGCTGCCACTGTAACCTAAATTAAACGCCAGGCAAAAACTACACCGTACTACACCAGCCGACATGCACTGCAAGTTGCATAAGTACGATGTACCACACTGAAATACAAGAATGGCCATAGCAATTTATACATTAAGGAGCATAAACGTTCTTTCCAACCAATTTAAATCTTTTGCAATTTCATTGTGCACATTGTAGCCTCAATCCATCCAGTGCCATGTATAGGATTCTACCTAGCCTACCGCGGAGGGGTTGAGTATTTTGCGACCTTAAAACCGTCTTGCAATATATTGGCCAATACGAACATAAACTTCGCTATTGCAATATTTTCCAATACGTATTGGAATGTAGACATGCTATGAATATAGTAAGCCAATTTGATGGTTTTAATATCATCATATATTGTATTATATTGACATGACTTTAATTTCTCATGTTTTTTCTTGAAGACAACAGAAGCATGGCAATGTTTTGTCCGCTGGACAGGTGTTCAGTCAGTGCGCGCAAATGCCATTTTGAATGTGGGGGGGACATCACAGTACAAACGACGGAAGGGGGTGGGGGATATTTTTGAAACTTAGACCCCCTGTTAGCATGCGTTTCTGCCTGTGAGCCAGGGGGGGGGTTCCATCAGTGCTACGATGCTCTCCTGTGACACATTTCACACACACATTTCACTCACAGGTTCTGGACGCATGCTTACCGACTGCACGCACGAGGCACGGCTAACGAGAGCACACACACACCGCATTTTGGTTTGTGATAAGATACGAAGAATGGGTGTCCATGCATCCAGTCATAAATCAAGAAAACAAACAAAGAGCCAGAAAATCCAATCATTTTGGTGTTGAGGCTGATCACAAATAGACTTGGTGACGTTATATTGTTGTCAGTACATCATATAATCGTGTATATAATATTCATCAATTTGCAATGGAAATTACATTATTAAAACCCGATGCTTCATTACAAGTGTCCCTCTTTGTCATGAATATAGCTTCGTTGTTCCAGCTTTGAATGCATGGGTCTAATGTGAGTGAATCTCCTAAACTTTCATAAAGCATACTTTCTCTGATGATTCTGCAATAAGAATATTTAAATACAGATAAAAAAAAACTGTGTTAAAAAGTAACGGTACTGTAAAATTTATCAAGATATCATTTTTCTCAGTTGTGCATGATTATTATTATGTGCTGCCAATATGCACTTGAATGAAATCAAATCTGCAAAAAAAGGGAAAGAACCATTCGTGTGACGCACTAGTTCACACAATAAAAAAGGTTCTCACTTCACAAAACACACACGCATTGCACTGCAACCAACCGCACGCTACGCACAGCCACGCATCGCTCGCTATGTCGCACGCGACGCACAGCACGCACGTACAGTTCGGCACCACAGCGCACACTACTTGCGGCTTTGTTTATATTGAGGGTTCGTTTCGTTTAAAATCATTGGTGATCCAAAACTGTGGGGGGACCATTTGATTATAATGTCCCCCTCCTGAAAATTCGTGGGGACATGCCCCCTGTCCCCGCCCTGATTGCGCCGCCGAGTGACAGTTCCTCTGTTGCCGTAACAATGTCAGCCCGCTGTAAACTTGATACTCCTCCTCCGAAAGGCACTGCCGGCTGGAATATACACAATACAGCCTGCCTGCATAATTGGCTAATACGGATACTGAAACTAAACGAAACGAAACAGTGCCAGTGGTGGCTCAGC